GATGGAATAATGAACATCTGGTTTTGAGGATGCATTGTTCTGACCTAGTGAATCTGACTTTTTTTTCCTTTTGTCTCTAACACAAACTGAAAAGTTTGGGCGATGATTTTATAATGATCTTTGAAAATCAACGATAGGCTCTGTTCTTTCCTCACTCTGAGAGCAGCTTAGCGACTACAGACCACTTAAACACAAACACATTCTGGTCTGGGGCTGGCAAGGCCCCAAATCAGACACACCAGGATGCATTTAAACATATCACGTTCAGTACCTCCATACCCCCGAGACCTGCAATCTCCACAAAAACAAGCAAACATATGCACATTCAAACACGGTGCAGTGATACCTTAATGTCCCTATCTCAGCAGTTCCATGGTCAGCAAAATACAGATAAGCAACATACAATAGTTTCATTTCATTCAGCTGTATAATGAGATTGTCCCTTTTCACTATAGGCTACTAAATGAGACATAGCTGTCATGATCATGGACCAGGCATCAATTAAAGCATGGTTTGAACATCATACAAGGTAAAATGTTTAGGTGTTCATTCACTGGGACTCCTTAAATAAAGGCAAAAGTCTTATTTAAGGGCCATAAAACACTGCACAGGTCTGATAAAGTATGAGACACTACATAAACTTCTGGTAAATATAATCCCATTTCTTTTTGATAAAAGCAGTGGAGCAATTCATAGCAACACAAAGAAGCAAGCCATTTTCACACTACTGCTTTTATACCATTATTGATTTGACTGCATAAAACATGAAAAGCCCTAAAGGGATATGGCAACTGACAGCCAGGCCACAAGACAGTAGTAAAAATAAAGAAGACACTTACTGAAAAGGTAACACTACTATATAAAATAGTACAATACAAGAAACCATCCATTCATTATATTTTTATAGTATGATTCATTCATCTCTGAAATTCAAACCTAGTGATTCAGAGCAAAATCTCTTCACTGGTTCCCTGAGCTATACATCATGCCATTCTCCTCCTCGAACAGTGTGTGTGGTAGGTACTACAGATGGGCCCTACCATTCCTTCTAGTGCGAGTCCAACAGTGCTATCACTGCCATCTTCCCATGGCTTTCCCGTGTCCCAGCCCAGATACCATCACAGTAATAGACTGGTCATGTACACAGTTACCAGACGGAAACAATGAATGAAATGAAAGCAAATGAATGACTCGAGTGCAGGATTATAAAAATGCTTCATAATATAAGCAAATATGGCATGAACAGCACATGAACATTAATAGAAATATTGTTAAGTATGCACACACACACACACACACACACACACACACACAAGTTGTGTGTCTATTATCCAGGGCCACTGTCCTCAGATCTCTCCAATAATCAACAGGCTAACTGAGTTAGGTTGTGGCATAAGGCATTCTAATTGTTAGAACAGTGGGAACCAGAGATCCAACCAGCTGTTCTCTCCATTGTCTTCTTCTGGCTCAGTACAGTGACAAGTGTGTTTTAATTACAATTATGCAAGGATCAATGAGAGATGGAAAGAATGAGAACAAAGGATATTAATATGGGGTGAAGGGTCATATGCAGCAGCAGAGCCACCACAATGTGCATGTGTTATTGCATATCCGTTTGCACTAAGCTCTTTTGACTAATACACATCCATCTTGTTGAAACTGTTTAATCTGACCAAAAATGGTGTTGAAAGAAGTACATTTCTGGTATGTTCCTATACAGGCTCTCTGTGGCAGAAGTGCTGTTTGGATATGGTTTGTTTAAACAAAAGCACACTAGCACTGTATGAGAAACACATGTATACTTATCAAACTATAAACATAACACCTTTTTGCTACCGTTATTGGCCATGTCTACTGCCAGCCTCACAATCTGATAACAAGACATATAGGCCCTGACAAAGGCCTTGAAGTGTTGCCTGTTCAGTGTTGTGTCCATCTATAACACAGCTCTATCAGGTACAGCAGGGTGCCCAGTGAGAGAGCAGAGTGGGTGAACAAGTTGTTATAATGCAGTCAATTTTCTCCCTGAGACAAGGGGAACCTCTTCTGAATACCAAAAACCTTGCTTTTTTGTGAAGAACAAGGCAGTAGACAGAGGGAGTGAGAAAAAGAAAGAGAGAGAGAGAGAGAGAGAGAGAGAAAGGAGTGCACCCTTTAATCAAATTCTCATAATTAGTTGCTCACTGAAAGAACAAATTATATAAAATGATTAGTTTAAAATTGGACCTGTTGTGTCAGCATTCACATCACAGTGTGTCAATATGCAATAATGACATACTGCAGACAAATGTATATACAATCACCGGCCACTTTATTAGGTACACCTGTACAATTGTACGCACTTCAGTGCAACACTTCTGCCTTAACGTCTGTTTTTATGAAGCTTAAAACATTTCACTTTTTGTTATAAATGTATAAATTCTATTATATGTAGCTGGGGAGGCCAAACATGTAAACCTGGAAGTCATTCCTGTCCACAATAATGAAGGATGCCCCAAAGCTTTTATTTCTGCTCTGAGGAGCAGGGACTGAGGAGCAAGGAGGTTGCCTGGAGGAGCTATAACGGAGGATACATGAATGACTCCTTCACACAAGTCTGTTATGGATTGACACGCCCCTTCATTGGAAATCAGTTTGTAATTTGATGCTTCACATGAAGGCTCGAAGAAAGGATGTCTTATGTCAGTTAAAATGTGCTACCTCGGTTCCTCTCTCCTCACAGTTTTTCCTTGCATCTTATGTGGATGTGACTAGACACAGGGAAAAGTCAGGAAACCGTGGATGTAAGTAGGTGAATTGGGATTCACCTTATGCTTCCAGCCAGGGCTATTGCCGGCACATATGGATTTCTGGAATTAAACTTTAAAATTAGTGCAAAATCCAAAAAAAAAAAAAAAAAAGTCAAAAACAATTATCAGTGAAAACAAATGCTAAAGCTACTGTTTAATAGTTTTTTAAAGCGATGAAAAAACAAGATGGTTTTAGCTAAGGAGGTAAGTGGATTATTGATTAATCCCAGGGTTGGGGTTTTGATCCCGGCCACCTTTTGCCCAAATGTTGAAGAGGCTTAAGCAGACCCTGAATTGTTAGTTGCTCCTGATTCTTCACCACCTTGCATGGCAGCACTACCTTAATTGGTGTGTGACAGTATGTGACTGTCGCTATATAAGAGAAGTCAATTTTTAGCAATATCGTTTTAGCCAGTTTCGTTTCAATGTGATTTGACAGATTTGGTCAGTGGATATGAAGAAAAAGTGCTGTAAGCTTGAATTTTATAACATCGGCTAATCTTGTTTCTCTTATGAAAAGTCAACGGACCACAGTCACAGGAGAATATACATAACAGAGCTCAATATCAAGGGTTGTCTGCTTCCGTTGCTGTTTTTATTATGGCCTCTCTATCCATGAAAAGAAACTGCTGTCTGACACATTAAACAATTTCTTGGTTCCAACACAATAAACCCTACTGCAGATACTTCTTTCTTTGCCAGCTTTAGTGTTCTGACAACTTCCTGTAGTGTAAAAAACAAAACAAAACAAAAAAAAAACAAATGCCACAAATCTATTTGGGAATGTCACAACAGCACAAGTATAATTTTCTACAGACTGATCCTGTCTCTATTCACAAGACAGTCACCTATCTTGACACAGGCAGAGCAGTGACCCATAAGTACAGCTCAAACTTGGGACAGAAAATGATTTACTATCCACACTGAGTTCACCTAGCCTGGTTAATAGTCTCTGCAGACAGCTGTCAGGGGGGCAACACAGCTCATAAGTTATCAATGAACAAAATGTGTTGTATAGAAGTATTTATTGTATAGAAGTATTCAATGTACTATTTAGCAATATTGTTAGAAAAGCGTGCACTCAAGTCTCATACACACAAAGCCGATGAGGATTGGTATACCCACTTATATCAGATTTCCTAGAATATTTTATATAATAAATGCTGAGTTCTCCTTTCGCACCTACTGTAGTCAAAAATAAACGTCTGAAAGTGATCGTTGAGGCTGACTCATGCACACAGACAGAGCTCTGTCATCCACACACACACACACACACACACACACAGCAAATGTGTTTTACATCTTCGTTGCTCATGGACAGAATTGCATCATGTTCATATCCCCATCAAGCCTGCTGCTCAGCTGGAACTGAGCTCTGGGGGTTGCAGCTCTGTGAGGAGCAAGTTGCACAACACTGAAATAAATTATGTATGTATGTATATGTGCAGATGCATTTAGGCATGAGCATGCACACACATCCCATTACACCACAGACATGTAATCCTGGTAGAGGTCAGTTTTGTGCAGCCATATTTTAGGACAAGCCCCGTTTTTTTCTACTCCATCAGACTCTCTTGGCATACAGTCACATAGACAGAGTTATACATCACCACATAATCTACGTCTTAAGCCTGCAGCTCAAGAAAGTCGTTTACTTCCACAAATGGGTATCCAAAATAAAAAGAAATTATTTACATTCTCATCACACATCATATGCAGTGTAATGCCAGTGATTAATTATAGCCACTGGCCTTCTATATCTTGCCGTTTTAAGCAGCACCTCTCAGCAGTGCACTCAACCTTTGGTCTGTTATGTAGACTACCAGGGCAGTTGTATGTACTGTGGCTAAATGCTTTGCACTATGGAAAACATGTAGTAAACACTGTGGGTTGAAATAATATCCTAAAAATGGAACAACAAACATGAAAAGTCTAACTTTACTTTTCATCTCCCATGTGCCGACTAATACTTGAGGCAGGTTAGCTAAGATAGTAAGTGGAGAAGGTAATCATTTAGTAATTAGCTTTGGTCTGGCTAAGTCACAGATTGTGGATTGAGTGGCAGCATGTTGCCATGACTGCCTATTTTTAGCAAATGAAGAGCTGTTATTCTGGGGATGCCCAAACAGGCCATGAGCAGGGGGTGGTGGGTACAGCAGTGTGTATCAGTGGGTGTGTGGGTTTGTTTGTCCAAACAGGGATCCTCCTTACCTTCAGGAGTCGGAGCTTGGTCCTGGGCAGCATACAACATATCCTTGAATGCCTGATAAGAGAATGAAAGACTATTTAGATCTTTAGCACCTGAACTTTCTGCAAACACTGACCCAAGCAATGACTGTTTTATACAAGAAACACTCAGGTACTTTTCTCTGGATGCCATAATTTATATCAAGTCTGCAGAAATTAAATACCAATAATAAATGCATAGAAATTTATGTAGAGGTGGGTTTATATGGCCATGAGATGTGTCAAAACTGCCCAAGTCAGTATTACATCAAATCCTAGTGTTGCAGACAGAAAAAGGTGTAGTGAGTAAAAAGTGATAAGAGACATCACACAGCTGGTAGTAGCATCTAAAGCAATTGGAGATCCATTTACAAAACATTTGTTCTCCATATGAAAAGATTACAGCAATGGCCACATGGTTAACTTAGTAAACCATGTACAAACTGGCATTTCAGTGATCTCATATACTTCAAATTGTAAAAAATACTAGTGACACAAATATATCTAAAGCACATGAATGGAGGAAAAACAACAGCTCAAGGAAGTAAGAACATATAAACTCACAATATTTTGGTTACAGAAATGTGACAGTGGTTGTTACAAACAACAAAAATGTACTCCAAGTACCATGTTGTTAAAAGGAACCAAGAGTACTGTAAAGTTTTGAGTGCACAAGACTTTTCTTCATATTCCATAGGGGTTGAATTACACATCATTACCTCATGGAATATAGAATAAATTCTGTGCTGCATAATCTTTACACTAAAGTGCCCCTGCTTCTTCCATCCACCATAAGTGCAGACAATAGTCAAAGCCTTTTTCCTAGCAATCTGCACAGACATGAAGGCGACTCTCTCATTCTCCAGGGTGAGCTCCAGTCTAGTGTCGCTCAGTCTAGGACTCATGAGACGCTTGCCGGAAAGCTCCCCTCCCAGGTCTGGCTCAGGGAAAGGGCCTCCTGCTTCCTAGGTTTTAGTATTTATTACATTTGTTGTTTGTGCTAAAGCCTAAGGTGAACCCATCTGTTTGCCTTATTTGTTTCATTATTAAATCAGTAGTGGTCTCATTTGCCCAAGATTTTAAAACAAAGTATACTATGAGGGATAACACAAAGTGGTTGCAAGCAGCTTCTCTAAAAGTTATAGAGAAAAACAAAAAACAATGGTTGTCGTTTGGACGTTTAAAAAGTACAGCAACAGCTTGAGTTCAACTTACACTTGTCCTTGTTTATCAAAACTTACATCTTCAGATTAAAACTGCAGGCTGGGGAAAGAAGAGAAAGAGCGATAGACAATCTGACAGATAAATGGATGAAAGAGATAGTGAGAGAGAGGGAGTCAGAAAGAGAGAGGTTAAATGAGGCTGCTTTTTTGGAATTAGACTGATGTTCAAGCTAAAGGAAACTGATAATTGTACATTGACTTATCTGAACATATCAAAAGTAATCAGAGAAACTGCCCCATGGTCTTACCAAATTGGGAAGATTTTTTTTTATTTTTTATTCAACTTTATGAAGTCATAGGTACTGAACTGTTAAGCTCGTCCGTTCATAAGCCTCAGAGTACACAACATTGAGACTGTCATATTCCATATTAGTGCAAACGATATATTAAACTGCTCTCTGTCCAGGTTCCTAGACAACCTGCTGCTTTTGTAACATGACAGCAAGAGGGCAGGAGGAGTAGCCTGTTTCTGTGTGGGGGGTGGAAACCACTTAGTAACTGCTGTGCATTAGTGGCAGTAGTAGATAGTTAAGTTCCTCTTTGAACAATGAGACTCAGACCCTGGAGCCTATCCAATATGTAAACATTTAATGTGTATGCAGTACTGTCTCTACCTTGTCTGATATGCAGCATTGCAGCAGTGATCAGTCCCAGCAAAAAGAACTAATGGGTGAGAAAAAGATCTTCAGATTCAGATGTGAAGGCGCTCATTAAGATGGTGTCATTGCCATGGTGATGTCAGTGATGGGAAAGGGGGTGCTGGGTGGCTCTTTGAACAATTAGGATAAACCTGTGTGCTTGGCAATAATCAGTGGTGAAACCTGTAGACATCTAAGCCAAGTCTAATAAGACCATCAATTTGAATGAGGGTGGATTAATGTGATAATGAAGGCTATGCACTAAACCAAACATGTGAGTAACAAAAGTACCAGACTTCCAGTCCAGAATCCAGTCAAGTGAATGTTGTCAATGGAATTCAATCCTTTAATAGCTGTGACATATGTGAGTGCTAGATGGTCAAATCCTTCCTCAGATGGTTGGGATTCTTATTCCTGATTGCACTGAGTACATTAGCAGTCTGAAGAGATCTCTGCCTAAACGGAAAGCCAATGGTGGATCACCTGAAACCCTTGCTCGGTATTTAAGTGCATGTAGAAAAACAGAGTAGAGAGAATGGGAGGAGAGACTGAAGGGACGGGAGGAGGGGAGCAGAGGGCAGGTCTGATCGGGGACCAGATGTCCTCCCAGTGGGGGAGGAACGATGAGGTGTGGATGGAAGGAAGGAGGGAGGAATAAAAAGGTGGGTTCTCAGCAGCTGCCATGCCATGCCTGTTGTATACATAATGTTCATATTGTAGAACATGCAGATAAAGTGCTGTTTTGTTTTATACAAAGTAGTGATGTGTTGCGTACTGTGTCTATCACAATACAAAGCTCACTGGGCTGGTTTAGACATTTAAAATACATTACTCACATTAATTAGAGAAAGACAAGGTTTCACCTTTGAACAAACAACATTAGTCTTTGAAATCACACAGGAACCTGTTTTTCTTCTACATACTGTGATTTCGCTTTGCTAGTTTGAATTGTAAATGCAAGTCTCCACATGCACTCTCCTCCTCCTGCAAGCTTACACGAGTGATTAGACTGCAGAGGTAAACACATAAGTGGCCTTGTTCTCTCGCCCACACACACACCTGCATCTCTGTCTCTCCCTCTTTGCTTATACCTGTACTACTCCATATACAGTTGTACAAAGTACATCTAGATTCAACTGTTGCCAAACATACTTACATTTTACATGCTGCAATACATGCAAGTTTGCTTTTGTATGAAAAACCCTCTGGAATGGAGAGAAATTCAAAGGAGAATCAAGAAGACATTTCCAACTGTTTATAATACTGCTTTTTATACTTTTGCATTCAATAACTATTACATTTAAAGATAGATCCCCTCCATTCACATCCCCTGCCCTCTGGCACAAGATTCTGGAGTCAACAAGATATGCACAGCTCCATACCAAATGGTAGTTTAGCATTAAGGTTTATAACTACAACCCCACAGGATAAAGCACACACCTTATTACACAGTCACTCAATCACCTTGTCAATGCCACTGTGTTCAAATGAAGCGCCTTACCAACTAAAGCCTGTATTTGCCAGAAAAGCCACTTTGCCACATAGAAACTGGCTGAACAATCTGAATAGACGGCACACAGTTTCCCACATAATAGTGTGTTCTATAAAAAGGAGGAGAGTGACAACTGGGCAGCAGGTTAATTAATCCAACTAGCACAAAGGGAAGAATACCACTTCACACCACAGTCAGACTGGATGTGTGCAGCTGTAATATTGGCACAGCACAGATACAGCCACTGAAGAAGTGTCAAATTTTACTCCATACACTATAGATAAACATGCCATGTACTGCTGGAATAATGTGTTACTGTATCATTTAAAAGTGTACTACAATGCAGCAACTGTGCTGGCTGCAGTAGCTATTGCAGCACCTAACATAGAATAAATACATGGGAAGCTGTTTGTGATGGCCACCAGCGTATATAGTAACCAAATGTTTGCTGAATGCATTTCAATGTATCTGTACCAGCAACACCACTAAATGAGAGTCCCTGCTTGTGATGTATCACAGCAGAATATCAAGGCTTTTAATTTTTCAGAATGACAGTAAATTGATGTTTTAAAAGTTATCTCATCCTCATGTTCCCTATAATTTAGCCATGGCTACAAGAGAAAAAAAGCCTTAGCTTCATATGAACTACTGTATATCATAAGTATGCATCAGTGATTGATCACAGTTGTTCTTGCAATGGATTTACTGTTTAAGTTCCAATTCACATGGAAATAAACCACTATTTCTAGAGCAAATAAAGTCGATTCATTCCCAGAATCTAGCTCCTCTGGTATCTAAGGATTATAAATGTACAACCCCTGTAAACACTAAATATAAACTTGAATACAATTTGCTCTAGCAACAGTTACTGGTGTCAATACATTGCTGAAATATTTTAAATCAAATATCAATTTCTGTACTATCAAATTTAATAAAAATGTTAGTATGAAATGGATGACAGAAAAAAAATCTATCATCCATCTCAGGTCGGCGAGTGCCGAAGCGAAAACTGGAGGTGCAAAATGGCTGGTATGGCCATGCATCTGTCCCTGGGCGGACTATGCAGCAGCCTGAACATACAAAGACCCCAGGAAGGCTGTGCATGTATGTTTATGATCGATTCAAATACATTTCTACCATAGAGCTGTACTCTTCCCAGTGTGGTCACTACATATATGACATTTCATTTATTTTTTCCACTTGAATTATATTGTCTGATGATATGTTTTTACACAATGACAACAGCATATCATTCATATCAGAATGGATGAGTACAAATGTCTGCTGTATCAATTATCCAACTTAATAATAACAATCACAGCATGTTTCCAAACTAAAACCAGTGCAGTGAGCTTTTGTTGAGTCTAGCATGCTGGCTGAGGAGAACTGGGTCTTTGTCTATAATTCATAGAGCAGTCTTTTTTTGTCACTGCATGCACTAAAGCTCATAATGTAGACCCAGCATGAAGTGGTGTGTGAAAATAAAAATATTCCTCAGGCACTGTACGCCACCCAACAACACCCATGTTTGCATATACAAATCAGTCAAAGTCCACAGAGATCAGAAACCAGACAGAGTATACTGGTGAGAGGTCTTGCAGGGTGATTCCCAAAGACAACCATTTAACTGTGCAATAGAATAACTACATTTTGATCTACCAAAACACTACAGAGTATAAACATCTTTTTTTCAAACTTTGGTCAAAATAGATAGATTTTTTTTATTTGTTGTTCACTAACAAAAGTGTAACTTAAATCAGTGGGGGGGTTTTGCAAAGAAAAACATACAAAAAGCTGTCTTATTATTTATAAACTATTCAGAAATATTTGTACAATGACTTGTTTAATTACTTCATTTTTCCCAATAGGAAAGGAATTCACTGGTTCAGTAAACTGTTCATTTATAGGTCTGTAAACTCAGCAAATAACATAATAAACACTGAATGCTCCCTATGGTTCTTATCAACCGCAGTCAATTTCCCCTCGATAAACAAAAGGGAATGCTTTATATTTCTCGCCGTTTATTGCCCTCTGGAGTAGGCTGTACTGAAAACGAAAATATAAAAAAAGCCTTTAGCCTACAGTTTCATAGGTAATACTGAGGCTTATCGTCCAGTTTCCTGAAACACTTTCCAAAAATTAACATGCACTTACAGGACTTTTGTCCATACCCATATCCACAAGACTTCTATTTCTGATCAATTTTTACTTTACCTCATACTGAAGGTACTGTTTCCTCCACTCAGGAGTGATGTGGGACGAAAGATGCTCCGCGAATTTCATTTTTCCGGAAGAACCGTGCCGTCAAACCTCCGTTAAATCCAACAGCGACTGTCCACTTCACCGTCGACGTGACTTTTGTTATATCAATCAACTTGCTTGGCTCAACATGCGGCGCGTCAGCCCGGCGCACTCCGCTCCTCTTCACTCCACTTCTGGCTCGTCCCGTTCAGTGCACTCCGAGCAGATCCCGTCCCACATACTATTTCACGGCTGGTACGACAATAGCAATGGCCTTTCTTTAACAGGTGGTCAAGCAGTAGTATAACAGAGCCGGTGAGAGCTGTTCAGTGACTTTGCTCCGTCCCTCCCTGGGTAGGTCTGGGGACGCTGCGGGTCGCCATCGCATTGAGCCACAGCAACGTGATTGCGTCACCCGAGTGCGCAATGGTACCAGGCGTTGTTGGGACCTCCTGTGAAAACTAGTTGTCAGTAACTCCACCGATCCTCTCAACGTCTGCACAGAGAATATTCAGACCACGGGCCTTTTTTTCATGGGTTTTGTGTCTAAGTGCCGCAGTCTGAGAAGGTGTTGTTGTGTGTCTGTAATAAAAGAGGAGATAACGTTGAAATCCTTAATATAAACACATTTTCTTACTTTGAATTTTATATTCTGTCTTATATGTAACCAACTAATAGGTCAGACTTCGTTCATTACAATACAATTACTGCAAACGGGTTTGCTTCATTAATCATGGTTGTCCTTCCCTGTCTCTCTCTTCCTCTAGTATTTTGAATCCTGTTGGCGTTGTGGACATGGTGACTTTTTGGAGCCCTTCTGCTTTATTTATTTTTATTTATTTACCTGGAAACGCGACAGGGTATTGTACTCAGATTCCTACTTTAACGCAAATGCAGTCATTTTTTCCTCTAAAAAAAGCAAACTTTTAAAATAACTGGATAATATTCTACCACTATATATAGGTCCAAAGGATGTAATTACTGTATGCTGTCCATACTCCTCAAATGTATGGCAAATATAGGCTATTGAGAGTAACAATAGAAACATCCTGAACAAGTTGGATAGGCCAATCTGTGCATTTGTGTTATAAAAATATATAATCTTCAGAACAGCTATATTTGAATGTCTGATACAATATTTTACTCAGTCCACTTTTTGTGTGTGGGTGAATCTTGTGAGCGATAGTTGTGACATCTCCCTGTCGCAATCTAAAAACAAATAGGTAATCATTGTGCCAACAGCAACATCTGCTGGACAAACTGCGCTAATGCACTTTTGCATCCAGTTGGTATTAGTTGCTCAAAACAAGTGTCAACAAACTTTCAAGTTCATGAGATAAACATTGTGTTAAATGCTAGTCGAATTAAAACTTCGCCCAGAAGACTGGAACTTATATTAAACCGAAAACTCATTAACGTAGTAGCTAGTGGACCACAAGACTGAGGCAATTAAATGACTAAATTTAATTCACCTGCGTTACTAGGCTGTAACGTTAGAATGAGAAATCTGCCATGCCAACTGTGTTAAGCTAACAAGCAAAATTACGGCCAAAACATACGAACTTTTGTTGACAATGTTGGCAGCTGTATGTTAAAGTGAAATAATATTTAAGAAGATAATTTTCTGACCAACGCTAAGTGGCCTATCGGAGAGCCCACTGCACCTAGCTAGCTAATGACGCTAACGACTCATTTAACTGTACTTGAACTTAACGTTAGTTGTTGTCATGTTGACCGCCTATTTACCATGCACTCCATAAAAACACCCCAATATATTCTCTTTTCATGTAGTGGAACTATACTTACTTAAAAATACAGTCACGCCAAAATAAACCAACAATTTCACAGCTTTCCTTGCTTGCTCAGCTGATTTTCACGCATTGTTTTTCTTACCAAAAAACACAGTGAAGCACTGGACGGAAATACAACCGGAACCTTTCTTGCGAGTAGTAAGTTTAGTCGGTGCGTTTAGTTGACAGTACCAGAAACGGACCAACGGGAGAAACATATCCGATTGTGAAGGGTTCTCAACTATAACTGACTAAAAACGGAATAAGCGCCAAAATACTTTACAAATATACATCGGACAGTTACTTTTTTCAGGCAGCTACTGTCCGTTTCATCTGTCACACGGATCTACGCCACGCTTCTTGTTTTACGGTAACGATACACTGCAAACAAGAATAACAATGGCTTCTGGGTCACCGTCGTCCTCTCCGGACACTGCGACCGGGTCGGGTACCGACCCACCCCGGCCCGACACAGGAGAGCCGCTCGGTGGAGCAGGCTCAGACTCCGACTCGGACCTGGGTTTGGGTAAATTTGATTGCAGCGCCATGGAAATGGTGGACCAGCTGGAGGGTGAGGAGCTGGAGCGGGAGTTTGAGTCTGCAGCTGACCGCGTACGAGATCTTGTTCACACGGCCAGCAGGGACCAGCTGCTGTACCTTTATGCTCGCTACAAACAGGTTAGTGTCGGATTATGAGTCACAAAGGCCAAGATTAGGATTTCCAGTACTGGACCAGGAGGCTTTAGGTAAAAACAACACATAGTGAATCCTCAACATTTATGAATCATCACGGATTAACTGATCAAGTATTGTACAGAGTTTCCAATTGAAGTTATCAGACCCGATTTACACTAGGTCAGATGAATATTTTGCACTTGTTCTGTTCGCAGGTCAAAGTGGGAAAGTGTAATACACCAAAGCCTGGCTTCTTTGATTTTGAAGGACAGAGGAAATGGTATGTTTCCTAAACTTGATGATCAGGGTTCAATAAATGGTTATCAGACATTTTTTATTATGTTACACACACGACATTATGTGTGTGACAGAGAGAGCTTTTTATTAATCTTTTAGCCATTGTCTTCTCTTTACACATTGCATGTGTTATGCACAATGCTAGAAAAGCTACTCATTAGCATAAACAATATCTGAATATACCACAATATCTGAAACAAACTTATGCATAAAATTTAATGTAAAACAACTGCAGACTAATGACATTCTTTTATAATCCATTTAAGGTTGAATGTAAGTTCATATTGACATGTCTGTCTCACATTGCATGTCCAAGTGTTGATAATAGTGATGACAATTATGATATCGTAACAGGCAAGCCTGGAAGCAGCTTGGAGACATGGATGCGGAGCAAGCAATGCAGGAGTATATTTCCCGTGTCAATGTGTTAGACCCTGAAGGCAGTACAAAGGTAACGAACTGTTTCTGAGAAATCTAAGTTCATCACATCTAATCTTAATTGTAAACTGAAATACTTTGTATTATTCTCAATCTTATTGTGGATTCTAAAATTATCAAAAATTAACAAAAATACACTAACTGGCTTATTATAAGAGTAGGAATACGAAGGTTTGATAAAAGCCTTTCAGGTGCATGTTCATCAAAGGTGACTGTTAAAACACATAATTTTCTTAATGTTTACAGCATCTTAGTTTTTGACTCAGGTCTGAAACATACATATGTTCATATTTTTATATTGACTTATACAATTGTGTGTTATGTAAATAATATGTCTGTCTTTTAAGCCGAGAGTTGCCTGAAAAATTTTTGTTGTGCTATGCATAATGACAATAAAGATTCTTGACTTGACATGGTGAGAAGAAAGTGATGCCAAATATGGTAGCATCTGGTTTAAATTTTGCTCTTTTTGGATGCAATGAAGTATTTTGGCCAGAAGAGGTCAGTGTCACAGTCTCATTTTTACTTAGGGCTGTTAGGGGCTTTTTATTCTTTGCCAGTATCAGGAAAAATACATGAGAAGGTTATGCTGTCTTCCTCAATAGCTGACATTTTGAGATATAAGTCAAGAAACCTTTCCTGTGCATGCGCTGACAAAAGAGAGCCAATTTACATATCCTCACAATCCTAAATCAGGTCATCCAACTCCGTCAGGAGACTTGTGTTGCCATGGACATCCTGTCCCTTGATTGACAGAAAAAGCATTTAGATACAAAAACAACAACTTTGCACTGTCTGCTTAGTTGGAACAGTATGAAGAACAAACCTGTCACTCATGATGTTAATGTCAAAGTGCGTGCAAATAAATGTGCTTGCACTGAGATAGGCAGACCGATGTATGGTAATAAGGGAGATACTGGTCATTAGTGTGTCCAGTTTTAAAGATGCCATTCTCTAAGGGTGCTCTAAAATGAATTACAACAGACAATATAACAGCTGGCAGCAAAGACATTAACTGGGTTGCCATCTTGGAATGCAGTTATGAAAGTAAATAGTGTTTTTCAAATTTGCTGATAGAGCTACATTGGATGTTTTAATGATTTTAGTTTTTGATTTTCAATAAATTTGCAAACATTCCTAAAATCATGTTTTCATTTATGAGTTATTGAGTGTAGACTGAGGAAAAAAGTGATGGGGTCTGAATACTTTGTGTCAGGATCCAGGTTTTGTATAAGTTAGAGGGGTGACTTAAAAATTTGTGTGATTTTATTTTGTTGCTTTTTATATTATTATTTTATTTCATAATATTTTCTTATTAATTTTAATATTTTTTAAATTTTATGTGAACAAACTATTAATTGTGGTATCCACCAAAATGTGTATTTTCTAGAAAGTGATCAGATTTTATGTTTAAAGTATTGAATTATTTAAAACAATTTGAGGAAAAAAATCCAATATCCAGCTGGTCACTGGTGTTAGGGTTACACATAGTCTCTTTTCAAGTGAAAATGGCATCACTAAAATGGAAGGCCTCACATCTGAGAGCGCCTGTCCTGTCCATATTGAGCAAACATCTCAATAGACGACGTAGATTCCCTCCACAAGTGTTGGTGGGCTGGGGTACTGGATTCACAGTCACATAATGGTGTACAAGCCCAGCCACAGGGAGATAGAATTATGTTGTTGTTTTCTTGAATTGAAAGGCAAATAATCCATCTGAGCATGTCTTAAAAGTCCTGTCTTATTGCTCAAACTTTTTTCTCCTATTTTTCTTTCTTCTCATTATTATTGCTCATTTCCCCCCTCCTCATTGTTCTCCACCTGCATCTTCTTTTCCTATATTAATTTTTTCTTCTTTTGTCATTCACTC